ACACGTTATGGTAAAATAGAGCGCTTTAAAGGGCCCAGTTTCATTAAAATTGAACGGAACTACAAACTCACAGTCCTAGCTGTGCACGGCTCCCACCCATATTTTTTTAAAACCCTCAAGTTCATGGCCCACAGAATGCTCAAATACTGAAGATTTTGAGGGCATGCAAATCGTGATTTGGCCGGCGTAGGCAATTTCGGACCGATTTACTGGTCTGCAACCTTACTCTATACGCGTACGATGCGCCTACAGCATGTGCACGGCCGGCGCGCGCTACACATCCCCAGGATCCGCACGTATATAGTCTTTATGTTTACAACTGTCTGGCAAACATTTCTTGATCGCTGATTGCTTCCCTAGGAAAGCCTAGTGAGAAAATATAGAAAAAATTAAACCGCTGAAATGAAATGGCAAAGATGTTAGGGTGAGTAGGCGCGCTGGTCTTATTGTTGTGCCACTAGAGGGAGCACTATGTGCACCGTCCACTATCGATCACTAGCCTCTTTGGCCGAGACTACATTTGGACTGATGAAAGGCTTTGACAAATATTTACTGCAAATCCACTCTGACATTACCACAAAATCCTGATTTCATATGAATTTATTATCACTTCAATTTGGCAGATATAGAGAAGAATTGGATTTAAAGTAGATTGCATTTATTTCCATCAACTGTTTCCAACAATGTCTTCCATCATCTGCTCTAAATCATCATCGTCTTTTAATTTTGCATCCGATGTGATTCCGATTCCCGAATCCCTATCATGCAGTTGGATTTCTGACTGAGCAGTGGTCCTCTCGTCGGCTGATGATTGACGGACTAGCTGGTTTCTGAGTCTGCGTCTCTCCCGACTGGAACCAGCGGAGGAGGCCTTTGCGCTGCTTGAGTCGCTGCGATCTGATATCGCCGAGTCCAGACTGTTTGCCGATTGCTGTCTCAATCTCCCACTGCTGGCACTACTAACATTCCTAATCTCACGGTTTGAATAACTGCCATTTGATGGTTTATCTGTCGGTCTCTGCTCCTGTGATGTTTCACGTCTCCCCGACGAGGAGCTCCGATGACCCTCTCTCCTAGATGATGAAGAGGTTCTCTGCCTTCTCACAGAAGACTGGTGACATCCGTCTTCGTCGCTAGCAGTCTCTTTTGAGGAATCACCAACAGGGAGTTCTGATCTCTTCTCTGCACTTCGAGAGCGGAACGCTGCGCTTTGATTCTTCTGTGACCCACTTGGAGGACGGGGGTGTGCCTTCAGTTGTGCCCGCAGGGTCTGTATCGTTTGTTCCCGTTCTCGGACTGCCTCCTCTAGTTCCGATATCCTTTGCTCTTGGGCACTCAGCTGACTAGAAATCTCCAAGATGACTTTGGTTCGACCGTCTTCCCAATCCCCGTCATCTTCCGTGGGCGTGTCTTCAGTGATGCGATCAATGGGCGTGGCGGGAACGGCACCACACTGACGACTCCGCGCACTGGAAACTTGATGAGCTCTGTCCAACCGCTCTAAAAATGAAATCATGAATTTGGAAAAGAACTTTAGCAAAGCTAGGCACTGCTCACAAATTTAGTTACCAGAGCTGCTTTTGAGTAGTTGGCCTTTTTAGATGCTTTTTCCGAGGGCTTATAACTTGAGTGGGACTCGAACCCACAACCTTCTGTGCAGTTGTCTAACTACTTGTCCATGGTGCTTGATGGGAAATTGGATTTTTAGTCGAGTCTAAATGTGACTCGTTCCTTCTCTTATTATTAATCTCATTCCTCGTGACTGACTTGTGATGGACTCAACCACAAAGCCGCTCACCCGTGAGTTTTGCGTTCTCCTCTTGCAGCGACGTGAGTTGGTCCTTCAGGCTGTAGACCTTGAGGCCCGCCTCCTGTTTCGCCTCGGCCAATTCCGTCTGCGCGGCCCGCAGCCTCTTCTTGAGTTTGATGCGCTGAAATTAGAAAACAACAAACAGAACAAAAAGTCTGCTTGATACTCACGAATCTAAACGATGTGAACGCGAATACTAGTGTACATATGTGCGGTACCTCGCCGCGCTGCGCTGCGCCACCTCGAGCTCTATACTGTGCTAAGCTTCTCCAACCTTTGTTCGTGCAGCGATTGCTAGTGTATTGCGCACGCATACTATCACTCCGTAAAACACAAACAAAACCACATGATGACTCGGTTTAATGTGATCCTATATTTATTAATACCGAAAGGTGTTTTGATGTAAATTTCAACAGCTAGGTCACTTAATTTTTCACAGATTTTTTTCACCAATTAGGAAGCAAGTTTGGGTAGCCTGGAACGATGGTCACTGGAATTTGTACGCAGGGCTAGTACTATTTCAAAGCCATGAATCTCTATAACAAATGTGCTACGTAGAAGCACGACAGAACTCACCATTTTCGCCAAGTCTTCCTCCAAACTTTTGATCTGCTGTTCCTGCTTTTCAACAATCTGAAGAAAGAGAACGCCACAAAACTCAAAATAAACCAAATTTAGGAGAATCAGTGTCCTAAAATGTAAAAAAATAACGCAAAACAGAGTTCTCACTTGATCTTTCTCCAGTAACATTTGAGAAAATTCTCTCTCCGCGTCAGGTGACGTCTGGTCCTTAGATTCCTCCAGTTGTTGCTCGAGTTCCGATACTCGATCTAGAAGCTCAAAGTTGGTGCCCTCAACTTCTGCCATCTACACCCCAAAAAAGGTCACATTAAGTGAAAAAGAATTGTGTTTACTGTAACACCCAAGAAATTATGCAGGTCGCGTAGGTAGGAAAATAAAGTAATTTTTAACTGTTTTCAGGCTTGATCCTGAGACTGATCTGTGTCGTTTTGTTAAGTCAGGGTGCTTCAAAAGTTCAACCAGGGTACAAGCACCTGTTTATAGGAACATGCATTGTTCTTACTGGGAACAGCCCAGGAACGGCTGGTGATCTCACGTGCTTGATTACTCAGGAATGGCCTGAACACACAGTGTTCCTAAAAAGGAATGTTTCATACGGAACAGGATCGTTCTGACTTCTGAGATGTTCTCTGACCCTCACCCAATGATAACAAGTTTAGCATCATGGTATCCTGTCCAGGATGTATCCTACCTGTTGCTCAAGTGTAACAGCCCTAGCATGGGCTTCTTCAGCTTTCACATCCGCATGACGGAACAGCTCCTTGAATTCTTCCAATTGCTGTTCCAAGAGCTCTACCTACACATCAACAACAGATTTTAAGAACAGCAATTGAAACAACAACAATAAATGAATACAAACAGTTACACATATTCATCGTTATAAAAACGTCTTGGACATCAATCTTTTTCTTGGCAAGGCTTAGTTATGTAAATTACACATCTGGTATGGAATGCGTGCATTTCTATGAAAGAGTTTTAGGATAGCATTTGCGCGCATTAGCTAACTGCGGTTTTAAACAGCTGCAGCCAGATGTGTCAATACATAGGTCAGGATAAGTTACCCAGAATGCCAGGTCCTTTTCCTTCACAAGATTCTGTGCAGCTCATCAGACCTCCCCAGCGCCCTGTTTTTAGAGCGGGGGTACAAGCGAATCTTTTGTGTTACCACAGCGACTTACCTTGGTTTTACTTGTATTCAGGTTTTCAACAATGCATCCATCTGAGCTAGATCTTGTCCACCTTTGATAAGAATGAATTTTAGAAAGGAAAATCACAACAAACAATGGAAATGAAAAATGTTTGTTTTTGTTTACATTTTGATGACAGATCTTGGTTGCTACTTAGACAGGACGCCCTAGTATTATCGCAGTTGAAGCCCTCAACCGATGCATGACATGTACAAATTAACTACGCAGTGGCTATTGTTACGGCAGCCGTAACGCGCTTCCCATTTTCTATCATTACGGTAGACTGCAACTTTTATAAAAATATGAGAAGAAAATATAACATTAGAAGGAAAAAAAAAAGTGAATTTGATCGTTATGAAATTCGGACTTTATTTCCCTTTAAAAAAAAATCCTCCAAAGCCTCAGGTTAGAAAAGGAAAAAAATTCGAGTGCAAAACTGAGATGCGAACCCGCAACCTCACGGTGCAAAATCCTACCCTCTATCGACTGAGCTGTCGCACTGCTCGCTAAAACGTGGGGAAACAAATAATTATATACCTGCGTGTGTATCAAAAAAGTATCGTAGAGGGCGCTAAACAACAGCTGCTGTAACGATAGCCACTTCGAATTAACTAAGTTGGCCACACATTTGCCTACAAGACTATTACTTAGTTTATCAACACATTCCTAGTCCTACATTTCCTTGTCTCTCTGACTCTCTCAGTCTGACTCAGTCTGAGTGAGAATAAGATAGGCCTAAGCAAAAAAATGTGGTATTTTTCTGTTTCAAACTTGAAGGTAGGCTTAGCGTCAGGTTGCAATATTTTTTTCCGTTGTCTCAACAACGGTCGAGTTGTCTGACCCCCCCCCCCCCCCCCAAGCACCGACCGCGCTAGGCGAGCGTGGCGCAGCGCGTAGCCTACCCGAGTTTCGCCGGGGACGGCGCCCTTTCTTCGTCCGCTGCTTCCGCTTCCCCATTCGACTTCCTCGGTGATCCGTGAGCACTCTGACTGATCGTTAATTTCTTCACATTCGTGCTGGCTCCATGGCCCATTATTGTTATCAGAAAGTTTCACGTGTTTCCCATACATTTAGTTTTCCTGAAGATTTTGCATTTACTTCAATGAAACGGTCAAAAATGAAATTTTAATGAACTTCAACAAGCCACTCATCCAAAACTGTCAAAATGGCAGCGCCCACTTCGTTTCTCTGACAACATGGCTCGTTCCAAACTGATAAAAAACAGTAACTTTCAAAAATATAAATATGTTTATTTGGCTATGGATTTTACGACCTCAATCTAAATAAAAGGATATTCATATTTCTTTCATTCTAAATTTTGGAATATAGTTATTTCTAAAATGATGGAAAACATGTTATATTTTTATATCCATAACTTAATTATTTTGTGACCTTTGAACTCTACGCCTGTCATTTTCAGCTGTTGTTTTGGTTTATGCGAGTAAAATAATTGTGTAGACTAGTATTGTCCTTCATTTTGCATTTTTGGTCTTCCGCATGAAGAAACTACGGGGCGAAATGGAGCGAGATGGGAATTTTCAAGGTGGAAATTCACCAAATTTCTCGAGTTGCTGGATTCTGACTGAGAGCCAGGAGTTCATCCGGAGAACTTTTTCATTTTTGCCGGCGAAAACATTAGGGATTTGCTCTGGGTATTATCATTGATTGATTGATTTAGTTCACATAAAACAGTGAAGTTTTTGCACAAAAAAGGCATAGGGCCTAGGCACAGTACTGTCACTAGTAGCCCGACTGCGTCTGGCCGTACAGTACTATCGCAAGCTCTGTAGTACGGCCAGACGCTGAATGCTTCCAAAAAGACTGAATTTTTGTGGCCGCCGATGTAGCGATTTTGCTACATCTTTCGATCGCAATTATCTTTTCATCCAGGGCACAAATTTCCAAAGTTAAGGTTCGTAGTCGTAGAGCAACTCATACCTTTTCGAAAAAACGTTGTTTGGTCTCAATATTTTCATCTATCTGGCCACAAGACGAATTTCAGTCATATCGTCCCCCATGCGATCCCCCATGCGATTTCAAAATGGCGGCCGCGCTGTAATGTATGCAATATGCAGGCGCGCCCGCGCAAACTCATGAATATGCATAATAATCTGTGACGTACGACCTCGTGTTTTTGGACGTGCGTGCGGCGGGGCCGTACGTCCAAAAACACGAGGTCGTACGTCACAGACTGTTTATGCATATTCATGAGTTTGCGCGGGCGCGTCTGCATATTGCATACATTACAGCGCGGCCGACATTTTGAAATTGCATGGGGGATCGCATGGGGGACGATATTTGTGGAATCTGATGACTGAAATTCGTCTTGTGGCCAGATGGATGAAAATATTGAGACCAAACAACGTTTTTTCGAAAAGGTATGAGTTGCTTTACGACTACAAACCTTAACTTTGGAAATTTGTGTCCTGGATGAAAAGATAATTGCGATCGAAAGATGTAGCAAAATCGCTACATCGGCGGCCACAAAAATTCAGTCTTTTTGGAAGCATTCAGCATCTGGCCGTACTACAGAGCTTGCGATAGTACTGTACGGCCAGACGCAGTCGGGCTATGTCACTAGTGCTAGCCCCATAAAAATTGTTAGTCCGAGTAACTTGGACCAAACTTATCGCCTTTTTAACATTCGGACATGGTCTGGCGATAGTATCGCCAGACCACGTCCAAATGTTAAAAAAGGCGATAAGTTAATTGGGTCCAAGTTACTCGGACTAAAAAATTGTCTGGACTAACTCCGTAAATTCGGCCACACTTGGCATGCTTGGAACATGTACATGATGGGGTGATGTACCCGATCCGTACTCCTAGAACTATGAGGCTCCACGTACTACGTGGAGCCTCATAGTTCTAGGAGTACCCTAGCCCCACTAGTGTGGCCGCGGTGTGCTGCGCTGAACCTGAATAGAGATGACTGCACATGGCCCCCAGACGATAAATGCATGGTACAGGAAACAGCCGTCGCATTTGCAACTCGCGCCCTCGCTCGACAAGCAATTTGCATAAACGCGACGTCACAGCTTGAGGTCATCTCTTGTCACATTCAAAATGGTTGCCATCACCAGATGTTTCACGAGTGCATATGGGCTCCAGAAAGATTCAAGAATATCTCGGAAAATTGAACATCATTACACCTAAGCATCCCAGAAGTGATAGATGGGACATCATAGAATACAACCATATGTAAGAAACTGCCTGAAAATTGTATGAAAACGTCCTCAGTAGTGCGCGTTACCACGGTGTGTGGCCAGAGGTTCAGCGCAGCATACCGCGGCCACACCAGTGGGGCTAGGAGTACCCGATCCGAATAGGAGAACTTTGTTTGTACTTGTAGAACTTTGTCAAATTTTGATTTTCACATTTTTTTATTTAGGCTTTATTTGTCATGTTTGTAGTTGATTTACGCTTTAGAAGCATATTACTCGCCCTCTTTATACTCGATAGAAAATTACTTTTAGGAAAGAATGTTGCAACCTGACTGGTCCCATAAATGTGGCCAATTTACTAGTCTTATCATCATTTTTGCAATAACTGACCTTCATTGAGATGATAGGTTATATGAAGAAAAACGTTGTGTCAGGTTGCAACATTTTTTCCAACCCCTACATCTAGCCGTGAAGGAACCATTTACGTTAGTCGACTGTTCAGGACGACTTATATAAGTCCGAGTAACTTGGACCCAACTTATTGCCTTTTTAACATTCGGACATGGTCTGGCCACAGCATTGCCAGACCATGTCGGAATGTTAAAAAGGCAGTAAGTTGGGTCCAACTTAGCTCTACTGAGTGGAGTGCTAGGTACCCTCCGTACAAGCTTGTATGGCGGGTACCAAAGTTCTAGCGCTCCACTCAGGGTGAGTTAGGTCCAAATCGAGCACAGCGCAATTGACTGCTTGTGCCCAACTTTGTTTACAAATACAATGGACAAAGTAGCATCTGGATAAAGTTTTTCAGTTTTTACAAAACTTACAAACTGTGTGAACTTTTTCTTTGATACAAAAATATGTGTTTTCCTTTTCTTTAGAGTGTGCAAAGCATGGTACGCAGAGGTGAAGCGAGTTTTGCATCACAGAGAGGAGATAGGTTGGGCAACGTTTGGTAGAATCGAGGCTGAGGAAGTCAGTCATGGGAATGAGGATCAACTCGGGCCATTTGGAGCTCATCTGAATGCTTGCCTTAAGGTACAGCCAACCGGAAGCCAGAGTTGTAATGACTTGATTCAATGGCTCAACTCGAGTCCGACTCAAGTCACAATTTTGGTGACACGACTTGAGTCCCTAAGGGCAAATGACTCGACTTGAGTCCCTGCGAGCAAATGACTCAACCCGACTCGAGTTCCTCATCAGAATGACTCGACTTGAGGAAGGCTTACAAGACTCGAGTCTCAAAAATAAAACTTTGCGAAAAATATTTGCAATGACTTACGCCAGTGTCGGTTTTGTTCATGACATGTTAGAGTGTTCGCTAATAATGTATACATATTACATGATACATTAGTTGAATGGCGATCACCCGGCACCCCGTTTTCATTTCATTGAGAGTCAAATGTGGTGCCACCACATGTAGTAGCCGGAGTGTAAAATTCAAAACGCCAAAAATTGATTTTCTCTCTTGTGTTTATTTATTGTATATACTGTTCAAATATTTGTGACTCAAATTTGCTCGAGCTAAATACTTGACTCAACTCGACTCTACTCGACTACACACTGTAACTCGACTCGACTCAAACTTCTTGCCCTAATGACTCGACTCGACTCGAGTCACAAAAAACAGTGAATCATTACAACTCCGACAGAGACCTGACACCTTGAGTGCTGAAAAACATGCAAAACAAAAGTAGGCCAATATTGCTCACTCTTTCCCTGACAAAATTCTCCAAAACTGTCATAAGGCAAAGACAAGGTCCTCAGTATTTCACCAGCCAAACTCTAGGTCTCAATTCAATTTTGTAAGTCTCGAGAGACTTCTCTTTAAGATGTTGCACCTGAGAGTGAAGCCAAGCGATTTGAATTTGAGGTCTAAAACTAGACTGGTGCGTGTCCAATTTTTTGAAAATAAAATTGACCCCTCATCAGTAGTCTGGTGGTATGACTACAAAAATGTGTAGAAATAGAAACTACGGGCTCCGTGATGCAACAAAAGAGGGCGTGTTTTTACCTCTTTTGAGAGCTCTGTTGACAGGACACACAGCGTGTGCATACTGTACTGTACTGGTTCGCGCGTGCAGTACGCACAACTTCCTGAATGTGCAAAAGTTAAAGTCGCACCGCCCTCGCATCGCGTGAACGTCAGGCATAGTTGGCGCCAGTCTAGGTAACCCCAACTCTCCTTTTCTGGCCGTTGATGGGGTACTTGTGCACGGAGCCGTAGACACCAGATGATTCTGTTGACACAGTTGATTGATGCAGTACTGTATTAAAGCTATAGTCCATCATTTGCAGCCATCCGAAAAGTAACTGGCGTAATTATTGTTGAAAAACAAACTTGGTTGAAAGATAGTAAGGGAACTAAACTCCCTGTGAAATTATTCTTTCTGGGAAGCTGTCATTTTGAAGTAATTAACGAAAGAAGGCATTTCCAACGGTGATTCTTAAGAAGCACCGTAGGAAAATTTAAATTAGTAGTTCGTTTTGTTATTCAGCGCAGCGCGCACAAGTATTGGAACGACGCACACATGCGCGCGGTTGTTATAATTCGTCGGATCAGTGCGCTACGTCGCGTATAGGTGCAATTCAGGCAGAATTCAAAACATGATTCAGTAACTTTTGATTTGAAATTGAGATCTAAGAATGCTGTTTTTCTCGGAATGTACAGCTGAAGCTTAGCTGAAACTTCATCAGGTTAGTTGCTCAGTATCCTTCATTAGATTTTGAACTCTTTTGTTGCTTCAAACGTACAAAATGCACAAATTACAAATGATGGACTGTAGCTTTAAAGGGTTGTTGGACTGGTTATTTCATGTGGTAGTCTATTTTCTTTGTATTGGATGTTTTCTTTATCTTACACTTTCTGACTCTCATACAGTATTGAGAGTCTCACATTTTTTACCATGTTTACCATGAGCCCCAGTTCACGGTACATGTACATGTACCTAATTTGGCGTACATGTATATCGTAAAGTGGTGTCAGTATCATTACCTGTGTCCTATTGTGGTTGTCCGTTTTTCAGACCCTTGGAAGCCTACCCCGCCATGCCATCGTGTTCTCAGAATGTCTGTCGTTGGAAGAATTCCAGGAGGAAACCGATTTTGGGCACGAGGAAACCAATTCCAGTGGCACCAGAAAAACGCTACAGAAATCGCTGGAAGCTGTCCGCTCCAAATTGCCAGTGGAAAGTTCCGTCGTGTTCGTGCATTCTGACGGCACAATGGGTGAGGAAGGAGTAATTAATAGGGGTGGGGTATACATGGGTATCCATACCGAAATTGGCCGGTACCTGGTTCCCTTTTTATCCTCCTGGAGTTTATGCCGTATGGAGATATTGTGATCGTGTATTCCTTCCGTGTGTCCGTGTGTGTGTATTGTAAGGCTAACTGAAAGTACAGTCATCAATCTCGACCAGATATGTGGCTATTGCTCAAGGGATCTGCTAAAGTGATTAGACTCAGGCAAGTAGGTCATGACAGGCCAGGCCCTGATCCTAGGTAGCCCATGAGTTAAGTCAAGTTGTTTCTCTAGTGTCGTGAAGGTTTGTTTAGTAAGTGATAGGTCAGTCAGCAATCCTTCTGAATCAACTGAATCAGAAACTTTGGTGATTGTCTTCAGGATGCAAGCCTGATCTGAGCCCTGCGGGGGAAACGGAGGGTAGCTGGGGAACGGCCTGTGCCCTGCTGCCCAACATGGATGGAGTGACGGTGGAATGCCAGCGACACTATCGCAACAAATTAACCAGGTCAGAGATGGAGGCCTACGTTGCGAGGCATGGCATGCCAGCAGACACCAAATGCGTTCTGGTCTTCAGTAGCGGGGGCCCCCAGAGAGGGGGCCGCTTCTTCGAACTCTTGCAGCGCGGCTTCCAGGAGGAATTTGGCACGATGCCCGTCATTGTTGGTGGGATCGCACGAAACGTCGGCATGGATGATCAGACTCGCACTAACGAAACGTAAGTATTAACCAGTTTGCGCCGGAGGCCGTGATAACACACACTGGCTGTGTTTGTGCACAGGCACGGCTGACGGGTTATAGACATCAAGAATGCCTGGACTCACCTCCGGGTGATGTCTAAACACGCTAATACCTTGTGCCTTTTGTTCACACAAACACAGTCTGTGTTGTCTGTGGAGGCGGACCGTGTGCAGACCGTTGTGTTCGCTTGTACCCCCGCCCTGCAAACAGGACGCTGGGAAGGGCTGATGAATTCACGCTCTGATTGGATAGATTTCGCGTGACCTGTGACCTGCGAGTCATCATGGCCATGACCCTGCAAGGTTTCAATTTTAAACGGCCGTTAAGACTGATTCATTACTCGTTTATTCCAATTCATAAATGCTTTCGTTAAAAAGTGATATATAATGTATGAAATTTGCGATTCCCGTTCTCTTGCTCAGGCTCCGTTTCGGTCAATGATTGCATTATGCGACGCTCAAAATGTGTCCACATAGTCCGCTATGGAAAAGAAATCACATCCGGTATGAAATGTGTGTATTTCTATGGGAAGTTTTTGGATAGCATTTACGCCCATTGTCTAACTGCAGTCTTGAACAGCTGCAGTCAGATGCTTTATACATAGGTCATAGGTCATTTCCTTGAACACAAGATTCTGTGAAGCTCCTCAGAGTATCCCAGCGTCCTGTTTGCAGGGCAGGGCGGACTATAAGCTGGCTCTCTGGGACCAGGAATAGAAAGCAAAAACAACGTCAAACATGCAGACTTGGACATGTCTCTATTAGAACATGTTTCTGGAGAGACATACTTTGCAGATTCCAGATGGATCATAGCTGACCATGGTTAGTATCATCATGGGTATTACTGGATTAAATAATGTCAAATTGCATTCTTTGCAGGGGAACAAACTCCAAGAAACTGCCCAGTTGTCTGACAGTGACGTTCTCTGGACCCAACGTGAGGGCAGCATCTGTGGTTCTTGATAACAGTGTCACCACCCGGGACAAAGCTCGCTCAAAATTCCAGGAACTTAAGAAGTTGGGATTGCCAGGGAAACACAGCCTGGCTTTCTTGTTCAGCTGCGTTGGGCGAGGGCGCCATTTCTACCAGGCCGAGGATGTGGAAAGCGGAGCCTTTCACGAGGTCTTTCCCGACACGCCCCTTGTGGGGTTCTTTGGGGGCGGGGAGTACGGCTGTGATAACTTCACCCTGGGGAGATCGGTGCAGGAGAGTGCAGACCAAGGCTCGGCAGACCTCAGGCACAGGAATGCGCTGAAGAAACTGCAGAATTTGGAGAAGTCGTTCACTTGTGTAGTATGCTTGCTGTCATTTGGCTGAATAGTGAGGCATTAGTGAGTGATCTCTTTACTTTGCACTTGAAATTAGGAAAATAACTGGTCAACTGACTTGTTGACATTTGAACTTTCAACTCTCCAGACTTGAGACACCGTTGCTATGGACTCTGTGCGGAAGAGCCCCCTCGCTTGGCTACAAACAGGGAGTAAGGAAGGACCAGCAGTCCATTTCACGAAACAGTGCGTAACTTACGCAATGCGTAGGAGGTACACAATGGCACAGCTGCGCAATAAACTTAACAAAACGATTCACAAAACTTGGCAGAGCTGCGCAACGTTTTAAACCTAAACATCTTGGACGAGGATAATAACAGTATTTACAACGGCTGTTTGTGTATGATTTTGTTTTTTCATGAAACAGCTGTTGAATCACCTCCGCCCACCATTTTGAAAATACTGTTGCCCGACTTTTTTTGGAATCGTGCGGCAATCTAAAAACTGTGTCACAAGTTCAATGGCAATACTTTTACTTAAACGTCCCTGTAGTGAATTCTAAGAAACATTTTATGCAACTAAATTTCCACTCTTAAATATATGAATATTATTTGAGATCCCTTTTTGGTTCATTTTATGTGAAAGTGCACTTCTTTAACATTGTCCATGCTTTTTCAGACAACTGAGGGCGCTGTTGCTGTGATGTCATATCAGGAAGACACTTTTCAGTTTTGAACCCAAAACTTTGTTCATGGAAACATTTGTGAGAAAAGTTTGCTCATTGGTTAATACTGCCATGTACAGACACATCAACAAATCACCAAAGAAAAGATAAAATATGACAGCGATTAAATATCCCAAATTCTGGCAACATTTGGTGCTGACGTAGCTGTGACATTGTGGTTTATTGCTTGTAATGACATCACACTTTTGTTCATGAATATGAAAATTCACAACAGCGTAAACAAAAATTAACCAAAATACCCTTGAAAATGGCAAAACAAAAATTGAAAATAGGATTAAATGGGACACGAAGGTGCATTTTTAAAGATTGCATTAAAAACACACTTGTAAATAAGTTGCGAGTGTCTTGTATCAACATTGATAAGTTGTGCTGTGTTTTCAGTGTGTCCCGTTCAAATTAAACCGCCAACATCTCCACAAGTACCGTCACATTGGGCCCTCATTAAACACGATTTGAGGGGATTCTGTGGCCTGCGCGGTGTTTTAGAAAACCGCACGGTCACATTGAGTACACCTGGCCACATATCAAGCCATATTAAGCGTTTCAATGCTGTTCCAAATCTCAGCGACACTTTTCGTTTGTCTCGATGTGAAAAACATAAAATTCAATACTTCACCATGCATCAGTGGCGTATCCAGAGAGAGGAAGGGGGGGGGGCAGGGGGCACCTTACCTTGCTTCTCCCCACCCCCCCCCCCCTTCCCGGCAAGGAGAGCTTGAGACGGTTCAAGAAGCTGTAAACCCTGGATGCTGGATGAGGAAGTAGGAAGTTTTCTTGGAAGATCAGCAAGGAAGGAGTCACTACGCTCAAAGAGAAGGTAGAATCTCCTTCTTGCGCTCAAGTACCCCCATACAGTGAAAACTATAAATGAGGGCCCTTTAGGCGCTATTGTGGCTTGTAAATGCTGGTACCCATACATTATATACATGGTGGCCAGCATGAGTGAACCAATGTACTGATCTTCATTTCGGCTTCTGCTTGTTCGGCTATAAAACGCTTTAATTCCTTTCAAAAAATATCCCCCTACCCAAGATGGGTGGTCTCCTCCATAATTCCCTCCTAGAAAAAATATCCTCCCAGCCAATATGGTTAGTTTCCTCCTTAATACCCTTCTAAATAATACCCTTCTAAAACATATCTTCCTAACCAAGATGGTTAATCTACTCCATAATAAAAATATCCTCATTGCCAATATGGTTGTTTTCTCAGTAATTCCCTTAAAAACAAAGTCTGGGTCTTGCGCGTAAATTTGTACACACCTGTCCCAAGCTCTTTCAACTGACTATATCCCTATTGCCGAGTATGATATATACAAAATGTCTATATCTTTTATAAATAGTCGTCATGCTCATGCAAAGGCATATTCATAGAAAGGTCGAAATCTCCTCGCTGCCACGGTGTCAGATTTAATGAGGTATATCTAGGTTGTGTTAACTTAATGATTTACTGCGATCTTAACGATAACCAAGTTAACGATCATTGAATAACAATTGACTGTTTTTTTCTTTTTTCTGAAGGCTTTGTACAAGGACAAGATTTTGCCCAAGTTAGAGTTCTGTGCTGCTGGTTCTAGGCCGGGGGATGAGCCACGTTGAGCCCACATCCTGGCGTTCTTTATCACAGCTGCCTGCATAGCCATTGGTAAGTCAACACAATCTTCCTTCTTGTGATATTTGCAGAGTCGCATAACCTTCAATTTAGGATCACCAGATAATCAATGATAAATGAACGTAGCTCGTCTATAGAAGCATGTTCACTTAGCCATTATCCAAATGATTAAAAAAAGCACTAAGCATAATCCAATGAACCCATTAGTCCCTGCCCCTCAAAGTTCCCTGCCTGTTACTCCTTATACCGCCCCAAACCGCCCCAGCACTCTATGGTTGTATGGATTCATCCAGGAATAAATACAGTGTTGTACAATGGAATACAGAATTCTACCAAATATGACACTCATTCTTTAGAAACTGAACCGCACAAGCTCGCACATGAGGTGTTGCTGATCGCTGACAACATCAAAACCAAACTGCATTATACACATATTTCTGAATTTTTAAAAGTGGGCAAGTATCTATTTGATTTTTAAAAGGAGGATATACATTTAGACGTTGTTGGAATCCTATAGCTTAATAAGAAATCGCCCGAAGCCAATGATGAAACCACGGATTGGAAAATGCGTTTAAAGTCCGGTTCCGGAATATTATTTTGTGCGTTCCAGAACCACAAGGCGGGAGTCTGTGACACGTTGCAAGGCCGTAGGAAGCGGTACGGCAGGTACGGCTATAGCCGTACCAATAATAACAGGCATATTTTTTTTAATGTATACAAGGCCTTGCATGGCCCCAAGGGCGGATCCAGATCACATTTTGTTTGGAGGGGGGGGGGGGGGGGGATTTGGTCCCCCAAAAAGTGGGTCCAAAAAAGGACCCCCATTTTTTAAATTTTTTGTTGGGGTTTCTAGATACTCTGTGGTGCGATCTGCAGGCAATTTCTGACCATTTGAACCATTTTTTTTAAAGGAAGAGATGGTGGTGTACGCAGTGTCTGCCTTTATTGCGACGCCACTAAAAAAAAGAGTTCATTTTTTTAGGGGGGGGGGGGGGGGCATGGCCCCCGTTGCCCTCCCCCACATTTTTATTGTTTTCTTTGTGTGTTTTGTTTTGTTTTGTGTTTGTGTTTAAAGGGAAAGCGTAATCAAACATGTCGCCACTAGGCCTACATGTTAAGTTAAACGGAATGGCGTTTGGCCGCCACCATTTTCCTCAGACTTGTACTTTTGTTTTCTTAAAAAAGGTGGTTTTCTAAATGAGAAAATAGCAAGGAAGAACCGGTTTTGTGCAAGCAAAATTCAGGGAATAATCCGTTGAAGTTAATATCTTGTTGGAAAATTCCAAAATCATTCAAAGACAGTAATTACCGCCGTCAATCAGAGTTAATGAAGGGACGGAAAGTGGGATTTGCTATCAACAAGGCCGTTTGTCATTCTTTACCTTATGGGATGTGAATCAATTGGAAAACGAGAGACTCTGGGAGCTGATGTATTTTTTTTAGAAAGAGCAAAAAACTTAACAAATACGCTCGGAAGCTCAATCATTGTACATACACTGGTATCCATACCGGTGAAGTAAGTCTTAAATAAACGGAAATCTTCCCTACAAGCTGGTTGCAAACAAAAAATCTAAAAATATACATCAGCCCACAGAGCCTCTCGTCCTCCAATTTGATTCCTATCCCATAAAAGGTCAAGAATGAGGAACGGCTTTGCTGTTGTTGATAGCAAATCCCAATTTCCTTCCCCTTCATTAACTCTGATTCACAGCGGCAACTTTCTTGAAATGATTTTGGAATTTTCCAACAAGATATTTAATATCGACGGATTACTCCAAACTTGAATATGATGTTTAAATGATGATAGCTCAAAAAAGGTTAAAGTGGTCAGAAATTGCCTCAGATCGCACCACAGAGCGTCTAGAATCCAACATTTTTTTCGGGGCCCTTAAGCAGGCCCTGAACCCCACGCCGTTAGGGCTTCGCGCTGCGCGCTCGCATCAACCATGGAGCAGCTCCCTGCCCTGAGATGAGCCTGACCAAATATTGATAGCTTCCTACGGGCCTGACACGTTGTATGTTTGTACACTACAAGCGGCTGTAACGTACTGTATTCGCAAAGTAACGTGAACATAAATTTTGCATAAAATTGTGACTCCAGTCGACTCGAGTCATTACAACTCTGACCAATGCCTTTTCTTAACATAGACATTGACAAAGTGGGAGACTAAAGACGATGGAGCTTGGTAGCACAGTTGGTAGAGCACTGGAACGGCAATCCAGAGGTCCCAGGTTCTATTCCCTTTTCCTTTCAATTTGTGGATTGTTGTATTTCCCTGTACAGGCCACAGATTATTGCATTGACTGGTCGCCCTGGATGCAGGCCTGCCCTGGTTCACTTCGTCCCCCATATCACCAAGAACACAAGCCTTCTCATATGCTGAGCAGTGCTGATCGTAAGTAATCTGCTACGGTCGCAAGTTGTCTGTGATTTGACAAAAGTTTGTCCTTGTGAAGCAGTGAGATCAGAACCTAGCATTGCGGATCATAAGTAATCTGCTTCAGTTGCAAGTTGTTTGTAGCATAAACATAAATGTCATGAAGAGTGGGTGATTTGTCTTTTTTGTGTGAACAATTTGAGAGATATTATATTTTTAATTATTATTTTAGTAGAGTATTAATTTCTTTAGTAAAGTATAGATGCTAAGCTTTAAGGGGAAACATTTTGTCCCGCCTTTCATACAGGGTGAGCAGAGTATACATTTGATGGAGCTTCTGACAGACTCTCAGGAGAAATAGGTGGATGTTCAGAAGATCAAGGCATTCCCAGCCATGGTAGCAAGCCCTACGCTAAGAACCGGGGCACAGGCACTCATGCAGGTAGGCTTATGAGGGGGATCAGGGTCAGACCTGAGTATGCGTGGATAGCTCAAGTTTTGTGCATTTTGATGAGTTGTGTACCTTTTGACAACTACACGCATTTCAGACTAGCATTCAGAGAAGTGCCGAACTAAATTATTCCAAAGAGTTGAATTAAGTTTGATGTTTGAAACATTGAGGAGCAACTACACATGAAAGTCGTCCAAAGATTGAGTGTTGCAGTCGTTCAGAATGACTCCAGCGTCTAATCAATGGAAAATTAATACAAGAACTTTTCCTGTGTTTGAAAGTTGAATCTATTTAAGTTGAGTTTAGTTGAGTTCAGTTAGGGACTCTGGAACACCAGTTTTAAATGGATTGAAGTACTGTTTGATAACTTCGGTCTTTTAAGCAAACTCTGCTTGACGATTGAAGCAGTCTGCGATATAAGTCGAGTATGAGTTGAGTAGTTTTTTTTGACAAGTAGACTACTTTTTACTGAGTACTACTTTATGAGTCGATTCATTTGTTTTCAATGAATCCTGAGGTTTTGTATTAGTTGAGTACCTTTTTACAAGTCTTATGTTTCTCTGGTGAATTATTTTAATGAATATTTCGATGAGTATTTTGAGTACCGAAATGTGTGTACTCACAGTTGAGTATTTGAAGAAGAATTTGCGGAATGAATTTTGATGAACTGTTTGGGTAAACTGCAAGCAGGTCTTAAACAAATTAAGTCAAAGTTGCAACATGTATAACAAGATCATTAAACCAGATTTGTCCAGGTTTTTTGCTTTTTGCAGCGCTAACGTTGGTCTTTTCCAAGACCTGGACACAATTTATTTAGAGCAAATGCATTCAAATTTTCCTTCCTGATTGGTTTCCGTCTAGATAGGTGGGTTGGGTAAGATCAAGACCAACACAATCATCAAGGAGCTGTCCAAACCCTGG